TCAATAAACTGATGAAAAAAATTTAAAAAAATTTTTTCTTACCAGGGAGACACAGCCTTCAGTGTAAAATAAAGGTGTATTCCTATGAATTATTTTTTTAATGGCCTTTTTGTTTAAAACATTGCTGTTTAGGCCGGGTGCGGTGGCTCACGCCTATAATCCTAGCTCTCTGGGAGGCGGAGGCGGGTGGATCATTTGAGCTCAGGAGTTCGAAACCAACCCGTCTCTACTATAAATAGAAAGAAATTAATTGGCCAACTAATATATATAGAAAAAAATTAGCCGGGCATGGTGGCGCATGCCTGTATTCCCAGCTACTCGGGAGGCTGAAGCAGGAGGATTGCTTAAGCCCAGGAGTTTGAGGTTGCTGTGAGCTAGGCTGATGCCATGGCACTCACTCTAGCCTGGGCAACAAAGTGAGACTTTGTTTCAAAAAAAAAACACAAAAAAAACCAAAAAGAAAACATTGCTGGTTCTTTAATGTCTTGTTTTCCAGATTTAAGCAAATCTTTTTTATTTTCTCTTAAGGTATCTATAGTTTACAGTGATTTGGTAAAGTATACTTTTTGAAACAAAATTAAAACATTTATGTTTTTCTCCCTTGATCCTTCACTGATATAAACTATCCATGAGTATTTTTATTTATTTATTTATTTTGAAACAGTCTCACTCTCTTGCCTGGGCTAGAGTGCTGTGGCGTCAGCCTAGTTCACAGCAACCTCAAACTCCTGGGCTCACACCATCCTCCTGCCTCAGCCTCCTGAGTAGCTGGGACTACAGGCATACGCCACCATGCAAGAATAATTTTTTCTATATATTTTTAATTGTCCAATTTATTTCTTTCTATTTTTAGTAGAGACGGGGTCTCACTCTTGCTCACGTTGGTTTTGAACTCCTGAACTCGAGCATTCTGCCCGCCTCAGTGTCTCAGAGTGCTAGGATTACAGGCATGAGCCACCGAGCCCGGCTCTTTTTTTTTTTCCCAGGCCAAGCTTTACTGGGAAGGAATTTCATATTTTCAGATATGACCAGACAACTTCAAGGAACTAAGGTTGACTTGATAGAGCCAATGCTTATGTAGCCCCCTTGGAAAAAGTGACCTGGTACATGGTTTAAAAGGTTCCTGGCCTTACAGGTGAGTAAGGAGTGCCTTACTCCTGGCAGGTTCCTGATGTTCCTGGCAGGTCCAGGAACATCAGGATATTTCAGGGACCTGGAGAAGAAAGGAATTCGCCCAAATCTATAGGTTTTGCAGGTGCAGTCTAATGGTCAGTTGGCTTGGCTTCTTAGCCTTGAGGGGCTTAAAAGTCAAATCAGGCCCAGCACGGTGGCTCACGCCTGTAATCCTAACATTCTAGGAAACCGAGGTGGGCGGATTGCTCGAGATCAGGAGTTCAAAACCAGCCTGAGAAAGAGTGAGACCACGTCTCTACTATAAATAGAAAGAAACTAATTGGCCAACTAATATATATAGAAAAAATTAGCCAGGCATGGTGGGGCATGCCTGTAGTCCCAGCCACTTGGGAGGCTGAGGTAGTAGGATTGTTTGAGCCCAGGAGTTAGAGGTTGCTGTGAGCTGGGCTGACACCACGGCACTCACTGTAACCAGGGCAACAGAGTGAGACTCTGTCTCAAAAAAAAAAAAAAAAAAGTCAAATCAGAGTCTTTCTTATTTGTGTTCAACAAAGCAGACTTAAAAAGAGCTGTATGATTAATCATGAGCCTCATTGTACTTATGTAAACAGTTGGACCAAATTTGATGAAAAAAAACTTATTCTAAAAATTAGTTTTATTTTGATTATCTTTGATAAAAATGCAGATGACTGTAGGGAAGACATTCTATATTTCAATAATAACTACATCTAATACACCATTATGGGATGTCTAACAGCGCCACATTCACTGACTTTAAAACTTTTTCCTCTTGGGGAACTGACTCCTGCCATTTTGTTCATTTTGTCAATAATTAACATTTCCAATTTGTCTCCCATCCTTCTCACTTGGAATCACTAAAAACTAAAACTACCATTTCCCTGAAGTCCTAATAAGCTAAAGCTAGACGGTTTGACATAAACTTCAGAGAAATCACAACAGATCACATACGGACAAACTTCATGCCTGTAAATTCACTAGAACAACAAATGACATCTTCAGAGACATTCAAACTACAAACCGGAATTCATCAAAATTGTCACTGCCTTCCCCCCACCCAAGTAAAAATGCCTCGAACCCAACATTTAGTAATCTTCTAAACTTACTGCCCTCTGAACTAAAAAACTTGGTTTGTATTTGCTCCAGCCATTAATCTTTTTTTCCTTGCGTAATGTGTCTCATTAAGTATCTGTTTGCTTTCACTATATAGAGGCTTAACTTAGACAAAAGCCCACCTACAATATTGCCTCCTAAAGTGAGACACAATTGCCTAACTGAACTATTCTCATGACTAACAGAGGAATTCAATAAGATATTGGACAACATACTTAGATTTGTCCTTTTCTGCTTGTTCAAATTTATGTTCTTCTCTTCCTTTGCAGATCTCTTGCTGCTCAGCTACTAACAAGATTCTTCCCTCCATAGCCATCAAATGAACCCCTCCCTTTTTTGTTTGAGACAGAGTTTTGCTTTCTGTTGAGTGGCCCCAGGCTGGTCTTGTGTGGAGAAAAATCTAACCTGCCATTCTGCTTCTGTAAACTCCACTCGCTCAACCCTACTCCCTCCCCTCGCTGGCGCCACTCTGTAACTCCCTAGCCGTTAGTCCTTGGAAATTACTGACCAAGATTAGGAGTTCCCGACATTAGCTAATGTGGTACATGTTTGTGCAAGGTCAAAGCCCATGAAACTTTCCCCCCACCCTGTGACCCCTAGCCACCTGCGTGTGGTTTCTGTCTATAAAAATCCTAAGGAAAAAAAGGGCTGGTGCGACAGCTTCACTGTACGCCCCTGCGCGCTGGTAAATGAATCCACCTCATGCTATTGCATCAAGTCTCTGGACTCTGAGTTTTTTTTGAGCGGTCGTCTCTCCCCCACACGGGCTGTACATTTCTGCGGCCCAACACTTGAACTCCTGGCCTCCTGGCTTCAAGCCATTCTCCCACCTGGGCCTCCTAAAGTGCTAGGATACAGGTATGAGCCATCACACCCAGCCTAAATCAGCTTTTAATATATGAAACTTTTACAGAAGTTCCAGAAGGAGGAAATAAAGGAGTAAAACACACTTATTGGCCAAGTGCGGTGGCTCACAACTGTAATCCTAGCACTCTGGGAGGCTGAGGTGGGCGATTGCTCGAGGTCAGGAGTTTGAAACCAGCCTGAGCAAGAGCGAGAACCTGTCTCTACTATAAATAGCAAGAAATTAATTGCCCAACTAATATATATACAAAAAAATAATCCAGGCATGGTGCGCATGCCTGTAGTCCCAGCTACTTGGGAGGCTGAGGCAGGAGGATGTGGCTGAGCCCAGGATTTAAGGTGCTGTGGAGCTAGGCTGACGCCACTGCACTCACTCTAGCTGGGCAAAAAAGCGAGACTCTGGTCTCAAAAACAAAACAAAAACAAAAAACACACACAGACACACAGACACAGACACAGACACACACACACCACACACACACACACACACTTATTGACTAAGTAAAAGGCAGTTGAAAAAATTGCAGGTACAGAAAGACTTCTCTGGCCTTCGTGCTGTTTCTTTCTTTCTTTTTTTTTTGAGACAAAGTCTCACTGTTACCCGGGCTAGAGTGCCGTGGCGTCAGCCTAGCTCACAGCAACCACAAACTTCTGGGCTCAAGCGATCCTCCTGCCTCAGTCTCCCAAGTAGCTGGGACCACAGGCACACGCCACCATGCCTGCTAATTTTACTTTTTTTTTTTTTTTTTTGAGACAGAGTCTCACTTGTTGCCCAGGCTAGAGTGAGTGCCGTGGCGTCAGCCTCGCTCACAGCAACCTCAAACTCCTGGGCTCAAGCAATCCTCTTGCCTCAGCTCCCGAGGAGCTGGACTACAGGCATGTGCCACCATGCCCGGCTAGTTTTTGTCTATATATATTAGTTGGCCAATTAATTTCTTTCTATTATAGTAGAGACGGCGGTCCTGCTCTGGTCAAACAGC